GGGGGGAGGGGGGGGGGGGGGCAAGCGCCACCCCTTGCCCCTTAGAGCGGACGCCCATGCTTGTATTCTTCCTCAGTTAGCCTGAGAGCTAAGTTGAAGGTAAATGTTATGTTCTTTAACGCTCTGCTAATAAGTCGGGGCCTCAGATTGAGCAGTTTCTTGGCCCATAGGACCAAAGCTTAAAGGTGGTTTTGATGCAGAAGCCAAGAAGAAAAGATACTTCTAGCTAGCTAGCTTCTTGTTCGACCTTAATATTTGACCGTGTCTTAGATCCTACGGTACGATGATGCCTGGAGCATTACAGACCAAGTTGAATGATTATTGTTGCTCTTCCGAATCGCTTTAACTTATCATTTGAAGGAATGCAACAAGATGTATAAACCTGGCCCATTAGGCTTGCACGACAATATTAGCAAGGGAAAGAAAAGAAAAGCAGACCATGCCATCATAGCTGATACCTGGCTTCCAGGATTTCAGGAGTCTGCCGAGGCCTATGTTGCAGGGTAGTGAATCGTGTTTGATTGCTCCCATAAAGTCCAACTAGTCCTCAGCCCATATGTTCTCATTTGCCTGCGTATCCATTAGGACAGGGGGACCAAACATACGGCCCGAGGAGGTGGTTCATCCGGCCCGCTGTCTGTTCGAGAAATTTCCGATGGAATTGGCTGTCAGCACAAATTTCAGTTTAAAAATATGGGTGCGGCCCACAGGCATCTGCAGGGTAAGGAATGCGGCCCGCCAACCAATTTGAGTTTGACACCCCTGCATTAGGACATTTAGTGACTACCCAAGATGATATTAATAATAACAATTCTTTTTAGACGTGGATTAAACATCTTAGAGGAGGTGCATTGAGGAGCAATTTCCGATAAAAACATGGCAATCATCCATGCCTCGGTTCCTGGCTGGGCTGGGCGAAAGCTATCCGAAGGAGCCTCTCTTGCTACGAACATCTACAAAGTTTGAACGACCCCCCGTAGATGGGGCATTTAGCCTACCCTTAACAGTCAGGCCAGCTATCTGAGGAAGAGCACCAATAGACGTACAAGAATTCAGGAAAAATTCACCATGACCACGCTGTCCTGGCGCAGTGCAAAACGTGCGGGCTAAGGCCGAGTTCATACTCGCGCTGCACAGCTTGTACAGCAGCGGCAAAATCCAATCCAGCATGGGCATGTTGCATTGGACAGTATGCAGTTGCGTCATCCAGCATGCTGTACAGCACGAGTATGTACTCGGCCTTAGGCGAGGCAATCTGTTCTGGCCCCAAGGGGGGCTTCCAAGGGGTCTCCAGTTTAGCTTCGCCCCGGGCCCCTGGAAACTTCTGGACGGCCCTGGACGCTCAGTGACTCGACTGGATTGTCTTTGGTGCAAATTTTGATGAAGTGGAACGCGGCTAGATTATGTGTTGTCAGATGCATTGACTGTCCGATGCGTGTCTGACGCGTCCCTCAAGAAGATCTTAGTGCCCCCGCACAGGGCACAAATTCACCAGAGACACCCAAACGCGACTGAACGAATGGAGAAATGTTAGATACCACCCTCAGTTTTTCCTCACGAAGTGGAAATGCCTTTTCTCCTGTCCCCAGAACCCCACCCACCCCCTGGAGAATCATCAGGGGAAGGGAGGGGGACGTTGGGTGTCGCAAGGCACCGGCCGGAATAGCGAGGGACAGCGGACAGCTTCCAGTTTTCATTCGGTGGTGGCGCTCGAGTCGGAGAGGAAAGCGTGATTTCTTCTTGGCGTCCTGCTTTTCCAGTTTCTCCGAGTGCTTTCTCGATTTCGGTTGCATTTCGCTCGATCGATCGAATGCTGTACTGCTTTCGAGTCGCGTGCCTTTCTCCTTTCTCTACTTTCTCCTTTCTCTCGCCTTCTGTGCCTTTCTCTACAAATAATATTCGCTCTTGCGTCGGCCAGTTTGAGACCGAGTCTTTAAGAGTGATTTTATTCTCCTTTGTCTTCAGAACATTCACATGACGTGCAACGTTCGTGAAACACGCGCAGATTTGTCGCTTGCCCTCTTTCGGCATTCGTCACATTCCGGATTCCCTGCGATTTTATACGAAGTGGCACCCCGGGGCCTTATTCAACGAAAGATCACCCACCAAAAAATAACTTGTCACTAAATATTTTCAGCCTACAAAAATATTGACTCCGTCGCCAGATCACAATGAATCTTCACCAATTGGAGTCAGTCACCAAATTCTTATTTTTGATTTCACCAAATATGATTGCACTATCACAGATGTTGGTATCACCGAATTTGCATTATCCCGCACCAAAAAAAGCTCATCAAACTTATGAATTTTTCAGCATTTGCAACCCTATCAAGGAAAGGATTTTTCTTTATTTTCGGTTTGACCTGTGATGGCAAGATGAGATTGTAAGATCATATCATGCATTGTGGGACCTTCGGCGGAGGACCTGTGTAACAAGTCTCCTTGCGATTGTGAACATGTATGGGAGTTGAAAACGACGCAGACTTCCAGTTTCGGTGTGCTCTACGTATTAGAGGTGCCATGGCAACTAGAGAGTTTGAGGACATTGAAACAAGGAGACGCCTTCATTGCCTGTTGTGACGGCTACCCCACAAGGGAAGAGGTTCGGAAAAGTGCACAAGAGTGTCTAATCAGAAAACTGGAGCATTAGGAGAACTTGAAGAGAATAAGACTCTCCCTCTGAGTTGTGAGAGCTCCAAATTTTGAATGCACATGCCCTGTTTGGATCAAGATTGGCAAACATTCACTCGTAATGCTAATTCACAGCCGGGATAGTTAGTGTGTTCAGTACCGGCCGCCTATTAAGTGTGCCCTACCACGCCAACCCCTCTCAGGCATTAACCTCGCTTCAAGCTAAATTTACTCTCCAATCCCCACTGAATGCCACGAAGGATCTTAAGTCGAAAATTACCAGTGTACACATTCCTCCTAGGTTTAAAAAGTGGGGGGCAAAAAGTATCTTTTGCTCCCTCCCATCTGGAAAAGTGAGGGGGCATTTGCCACCCCCGCCCCCCCCCCCCCCCCCCCCCCCCCCCCCCCCTGGGGGGGCTTTTCCCCCCCCCCCCCCCCCCCCCCCCCCCCCGGTTCCTACACCCTTAGGATCCGGCGTCTACTCGGAGAGAAAATGAAGGACTCGGATTTCTACATGCTGGGTCAAGGGATTTATTGGGACAACCAAACTCGAAGAATCCTTTTTTCTTGTCGACGTCGGAGCGGAGACACTCGTCCCTGCAGGGTTCTCGATGGCGATGGCTATCGAAGCGGCGATCGAGGCACGTCGACGCCTCGATCAGGCGCTGGGCTTCTCGTCGATCCTCTCGGACGAGGCCGTGGTGACAGTGGTCACGCTCTTCGTGTCTTCCTGGTCCCCATCGTCCGAGGCGCAGGCCAGGCATGGGAGCTTCTTCCTCAGGGCTGCGCGATATTTCGGGTGGCTGCCACGAAGAAAAGGTGTCTTAGGGGGCGGGGGGGGGGCAGGGGGCGACCCCCCCCACCCCCCCCCATGGCCAGGTTCACATAAAAAGTATGGGGGGGGGGGGGGGGGGGGGGGGCGGGGGGCGACCCTCCCTACCCCCCCCTATGGCCAGGTTCACATAAAAAGTACCTACATTAATTTTTATTGGGGCCTGTGAAATAGCCAAGTTTTTACCCACGACGAAAAGTGAAAATGGCGACAGGATGGAATGTGGAGGGAGGGGAGGGGGGGGGTTAGGATCTAGGCCCGCAGGGGTGTCAAACTGGGGGCCCGCTGGCCGGATCCGGCCCGCCAGTCCATTTTGTCCGGTCTGCGTAGTCCTCAACAGTTGGTTACGAAAAAGTACTGAACATTTCAGCCCGTTTGCATTAAAGATTAGGTGTTAGCTTTTTATTGTGGCCCTTAATCACCCCTGAAGGCTTCCATCCGGCCCCGAGCCTAATCGAGTTTGACATCCCTGATCTAGGGAACCTAGAAATATGAAAAATTCTTGTATCCGGTACTGCTTAGGATTTTTCTGTGCCAGAAAGTTTTATATGCAGGATTTTCAAATTATTTTATTCGAAAGTTTTCTTTAAAAACTTCTTCTTTTGCAAAATTATTTCATCGTCTATGCAAGAAACTTTCTAGTGTGGACAGGACTTTAGAATCTTTTGACATAAATATCGTGGAAGATTCTGTACGAAGGGAGTTCTCCAGAGTCGAATTTATCGATCGGGTTGAATGCTTTCGAGTCGAAATGGTGATTCTGGCATCCAGACCCTATGACGTAAGGTCCAACTTTTTTTTCTTCGATTCCTCGTAGAAATCGAAGAACCGATGGAGTGCGATCGATTTCAAAAAGGAATAATAATAAAAAAAGTGGGACGAAAAATACCTGATGCCGTAGATGATGGGGTTGTAGACGGCGGCGGCCTTCGCGAACACGGACCCCCATATGGTGAAGAGGGGGGTCACCCGGCTCTTGTTGAACATCCCGTTCCAGTTGATGACCAGGTAGGGCGTCCACGCGATGAACCACAGCGAGATCGTCATCAGAGCGATCTGTAACCCATAAGTCCGATTTGGAGATTCTTTCAGAACACATGGGAAATAGGGGGGAAATCACACGAAAAGATCTCATAAGATCCAATAGGATTTTTTAAAACAAAATTATTTTAGGATTTCTATGAGAATCCTATACGATTTTTATGTTTAAAAAATCTCATAGGATCCTAAAATGTATTTTTTTTTCGTGCGGGATATAAATTTCAAGTACTGAAAAAGTCTCTACAGAGCAAGAACATTTTCCATATTATACAAATTGAATCGAGTGCGAAGAAAATATTGGGTTGGAAAGAAAGTCTTGCAACACTTTCTAAAACTATTTATAAACATTTTCAAAGGAATGATGGGCGGGGCTTTGCATTTGTATATGCTGGAATGTTCTCGAAGCTTCTGCCCTCGGGGTGTATAAGGCGGCTTCTGCCATTAGTTGGCAGCCATGGCTCCGATCGAACGAGCAACTCTTCGCCCCATCGTCTACTACGAGTTCCTCCAAGGACACTCTGCGAGAGCCGCCGCGGACAACATCTGCGCTGCATTCAAGGGCAACGTCGTCCACTATTCCACGGTGTCTCGATGGTTGAAACGCTTGGAATCTGGCGACACGACCTTCGGAGATCGACCACGCTCAGGACGTCCATCT